CAGGGTTGAAGGATAAAATTTCCAATGCTAAGCATTATTAACATATAGCCACTCATTTAATAGTTCTTTTAGGAATAATAATACAGAAGGAAAGACTGGCTTTAACCTAGTGGTTCCTTCCAGATGCCTACTTAATAATACAGAAAGAAGTTATAATCTTTGGAAATGATAAAGTCACTGAAGATTGATTGAATACAATATAAAATATAATTAATTTATATACCTTTAAAATGTCTGCTTAAAAAATTCATAGAATATAGTTAAACTCTCTATTTTTGTCTCTGAATCTGTGTAACTGCTACTACTAAAAAGTGAATATTCATGCACATATTGAATAGATGTGTACTCCAAAATCTGTTACTATTTTTAAAGAAAATGAGAAAAGCAAAGGAGTGTTTAATAATAAAAATTTCTTCTTTTACTAATAAAAGTTCAGCTGATAAAGAACACTTCAGTATTTATGCAGGAGTGGAAATATTCAGCCCAAGAGCAACATGAAAGAAGGAGAAAAAGAAGAACCAGAAGCACAAAGAAAAGGAAAGGGAGAAGATGTCTTAAAATTAGGTTTGAAGTGGGTCATTCTCAACAGTCCAGCTATTTGTACGTAAAAATCAGGAAAGGGGTTTGTGGCCTGACTGGAAAGTCAGAATGAACGGGGAAAATGGAATGGAGGAGTGAATGTGGCTGAACGCTAAGAAAATTTTGTTTTGTGCCCAATATTCCACGCAGTGAGAACATTTTTATTAATTTAATTTTTAGTGCAGTGTGTGAGACTCAATATTCATATGTAGATGATAAACTCAATGTTGCATAAGGGCTTTGTTCTGGAAAAATACTCAGTTCTGAATGAGTAAAACTTGTCTTGGATATGATTGCAGTAGCGAATTTAAGCTGTTAAGGAATCACGGTTCTGGTGTTCTCTTTCATTTCTTTAAACATGCAATTTAATAACTACTAAGCAGAAGGCACTCAGCACTTCCAAAGGACTTAAAAAGTAGGGATTCCTGCCCAAGAACAGTAGAGTTTTGTTGCTAAATGATTGGCTGGCATTTGGATGAGATCTCGACTACCACCAAAGGTTGGGGGGAGAAGGCCCCTCCACATAGAAAGCGGTGTTAGGTTCTCGATGCCCCCAGTTTCAGACAGTAAAACCTCAGGTTTGGGCTTCAGTTAGAGCCAGGTTCACACAAGGACTCGTATGACCTTGAACGAGTTACCCGTTTCCATCCAACCCGCTTCTGCCTCTGTGCAGTCAGTTCAGAATACTTAGCCACAAGGCCCGCTAGCGTTAAAGAGGTGGTGTGGCCATTTCGCTGGGTGTACAAAGTCAAAGCCTGTAAGATGGTGTGCCTCTGCAGCAGGGTACCCTGTACTCTCAGTAGCTTTTCCCACTGAAGTGAAGCATGCTCTCTGTGAGAAGAATGTTTTCTCAGAAGATAAAGTGTTAGGATTTAACCTGCTACTCTTGTCAGTTGGGCAAAGGTTAAGCCTACAAAGTGTACAGAAATATCTGATTCATTACGGATCAGCCCAGTGCGTCTCTTCAAGGCCACCCTGATATGAATTTAAATAGAATTGCAAAGTGAATGATATTTCAGGCCTAGCCTATTCTAAATAGACTCACGTTGTAAGAAGAGTTTTGGATATACCCGTAGATAAACCTTTTTTTTTTAGATTTTTCATCCAGATTTTAACCTGCCGTTGAACCTAAATAACTATTGACTTTTTTCTACCTGACCCCTCACTTTTTATGATCATCCCATTAGCTTTCACTGTGGAAATACACAAAGGAGTATATTATTATGACTCCAGATTTCTAGGAAATACATATTCCATTCCTCAGCTAGAATAGAAGTTTCTATCCAAACATAGTCCATATATGTGCACATATCTTGGTTAAAGCAAGTAATATTGCAGTTTAAGATTATCAGGCCACAGCATTTTCTTGCCTTCGTGTGACACGATGCAGATAGATCAAGGAAACTGATCTCACACGTATGACTCTGCCCTTGCTAGGAAAGTGACAGGAAATCACCTCCTCAAAGGAGAGGAAAGGTGGTATGCAAATGGTGAGAAATCTCTCAGTGATGCCATTTTGTGCAGTTTCCTGCCCAGTGCTTAATCCTGTTTCCAAGTGGAATTATTAAGGTTCAAAAATACATAAATGAAATCAACTGCAGAAGCTATTTGTGCTGTTGCCTCCAAAATGCGTTAAAAACATCCCCTTTGCGAGGCGTCTTGGAGGAACATTGAAATTACAAGGCTAGTGAGAGCCACTGTTGAAAATGCGGGGCTGTGTCTTCCTGTGATGTTAGAGACAATTACTGGAGGAAACTACAACCCACATTTCTTTCAGAATCATTTCTGAAGAGCAGCTAAAAATGCTGCTAACTCCAAGAGACTCAATCTGTCAAAATGTATTAAAGTGACACACTGTTAGTGCTAGTTCAACCTAAAAAAATCCTCCTATAATAAAATGCTTTATATAAACTCGAAAAAGCTGGAAGCTCATAGCTCTTTCTACTAAATTAGCCAGTACGTGAGACCCACAGGGGAGGGGTGGCCCAGAAATGGCAATTTGACTCCCTGTGGTGGCTCGCTAATGGCTGCTTAATACTTATCCATAGGTGTGTTTGCTTTTATGAATAGTCTAAAAGACCCAGAAATGACTTTTCCCCAAAATGGGAAAAGGGTTTGGAGAAACTGGATGTGGTAAAAAAGAAGGGAAATTTATTTTCCTTGCCTGCCTTCCAACTTTTTCCTGTATCTCATAGAAATGTGGGCACCAAAACACACACACACACACACACACGCACACACATGCACACAGTAGAGAGGCATGTTTATTTTTTTTTCCGATTCCCAGTACCAAAAAAAAAAATTATATCATTACTTCAAATTATTTAATTTATTTATTTAGCCTTTTTGAGACAGGGTCTCACTATGCAGTTCAGGCTGGCCTTGAACTCACTTTGTAGCCCAGGCTGGTCTCGAACTCGCAACGATCAGCCTGCCTCAGCCTCCTGAGTACTGGGATTACAGGCATGTGCCACCACGCCCGCCTGCAAGAGGCATGTTTATAAAGAGCGTTTTATGTGATTTTTTTTAAAAGGTGAGAGCAGCAAACACTGAGGCCAGGGCTCCCTATCCTCACATGCAGAGTGGTCGGAATCAAGTCTTCAGAGAAGACTGGATCGTATTGGTATAACATAAATGAGGCTCAAAGCAGATCACAGTGTCTATACTACTTTATATGCTCCTGCAACTTGACAATGAAGCACCATCAGACTTTCCAAAGGGCAGAGTGGGGGAAAATAAAAGCTAGCATGCTGTCTTGATGATTTATTATGTGATCAGATTCACTGACTTTATCTGATCAAATTATGAGAGCCCTGTTCAGAGGCTGCTGTCACTGAGGAGTTCGTAAAGGTGAGAATGCTGGCGAGCGCTTTCTCTTCATCCCACCTCAAAGAGAGATAAAGGGAGTCTTTCTGGAGAGCAGAGATGTAATAACCACAGTGCCTAGTGCCTCAGTTCTCCAATCAGATGAGCACACGTAGGCAGAGGGAAGGATCTTCCAGAGAGCGGTATTTGAACAAAGCTTCGACCCTTTGGAGCAGCTTTCCACAGCCTGTCTTGACTCCACCCTCCCTCCTTCCTTAGGCTTGAACTCAGTTTCTGTGAGTTTCCTATTCGGTACTCTTCCCGGGAGAACTGCCTGGCCTTCCGTTTAAATACAGATGGGTTCCTCAGATGATCTCACTAACGCTGTGACTCTGCTATGATAAAATACAGTTAGGATTCAATGAAGAGAACAATGTACATGCAAAGTTTGTGTCATCCTCAATTTTAACCTCAGTACTTCTGTGCTCACATTTTCGAACTATCTGGCCCTAACTTCTGTTTCCAACCTCATTTCCACCTTCCCTTTACAAACTTCACACTTTTCCACATGGGTAACCTTGCACATTCTTTTCCTGAAGCTCTCAAAAAGCCCAACATGCTTGGTGATTTGTCGGTGATAGGAAGAGATCTCCTGATAAAACTGCACACAGTAAATATTTTAACTCCAATGAGTAGTTGCGCTGTTGTGTGGTGCTGGAATTGTAACATTATAATGTGCACCTGTATTTCTGGCCAGTGCTGGAGATCTGATTACCTCATCTCAGAGCTCCTGCTCTGGTTGTTCTGTGAGGACCCAGACTGCTTTGCTAATAAGTCCACCAGGTGATTCTAATGCAAGCAATGCAGGGACCGCGTTAAGATGCACTCCTCTGCAAATATCTCCCTCTTTTTCACATTAGATTTCTGCCGAAAGATTCACAAGAAAAGTTGTTTTTTTTTTTCCGGAATGAAAATGTCATTTTTATACTACTTCCTGGAAATTCCATTCCAGAAACATCAGAAGTCAGGCTCCTTTTTTATCGTCTACCTTCCGAACTAGGTTGAAAGTACTGGGGAGGAAGATAGCTGAATGTGAGTTAATGACACTGCTATTAGTCACTTTTTGAGAAAATGTAGGAATCCCAAGAACATGCTGTAACTTGCAGCCCTTTGGTACTGCCTCCGCCAGCCCTTGGTTAACAGAACAATTGTTTATGCAAAGGGCAGGTTGAGGATGAGCATAATGCTTTTGCAAAACTCAGGAAACAGTATCAGGGTCTGTGGACTGTGCTCTTCCAACTGGAGAATCCTGTATTTGTAATAAATTCCTTTTGCTCTGGATGAGTTCTGCATTTTCAATGAGGTGAACTTGGCAACATTCTAGTTGATTTTAATAAAAATAGCTGCTTTGAGGACAGGGAGCTGAGGTCGCCGAATTTACAGCTGCCGTGCACAATTACTCTTACACCTCCTTCAGGGCTCCTTAGAACCAGTAAGCAAATTAAGTGTATCGATTGCAATTTTGTTGGACTAACCCCGCTTATTTTTTTTTCTTAAGGAATAAACTTGGTTCCTGTTAGTATGTGTCTGTTCAGAGTGATCTCTTTTCTTTTCAGCCATAACACAAAGACAACATCATGGCTGGATCCACGACTTGCGAAAAAAGCTAAACCTCCAGAAGAGTGCAAAGAAAATGGTAGGTTATTAAGTTTTTATGGTGTTTCAGCAATGCACTTTGAGAATGTTTGTGTTTCTTAAAAGAAGGACTCGCCTAAAGAAGCAGTAATCTAGTGGAAGCAATTTCCGAAATGTAATATTTAATGCTCAGATAGGAGAGAGAATTAAGTCGGCGTTTCAGCAGGGCCATGTGGGTTTGCTTTTTCTCCCTGAGGAGACTGTGCTGAAATCCACATCTCTGTCATCTCTGTTGGTTCTTTTTGACTCCTGGCCTGACTTTCCACCACCTATAAGGACTTTTGTTTGCAATATGTCTCTCTGAGGACTCTGCTCTTTTAGCTGGAGGCAGATAAGATGCATAGAACAACACTGATGTGAAACTATAAATAATGTGTAGTTTTGTGTTCAGAGACAGAGCATTCTGCCAGATACTAAGGAACCAGCTCTTGAAAGATATATTTTTTTTGTAATCAAACATTGAAATAAAAGAATTAATTGTATGCATGTCTTAGATTACCCTTACTGTTTTCCAGTTCTCGGTATAAATATGCAGCTTTGCTTAGAAACGAACTGCTTTCACACATGTGAAGAATTTTTAAAACTAATTTAGAAGACTAGCGGATTGGAAGTCTTGTTTGTAAATGAGTAAATGTATGTAAGTAAAGTCTGTAACAGATGATACTTGTAATTTTTAAAAATAATGAGTTTAATGTTGTGAATACTTCTAATTTTGTTAGAATGATAAATAGCATCCTCTCCTGATGATATATTATTTGGCCACATGCACAGCCTTTATTGATCAAATTTTGCTCTGAGGCATCTATCACTGAGGAGCTCTTAAAGGTGACAAGAACAACAGAGGATATTTAAACTTTTAAAAAAGTTTTTAAAAAGTCAATTTTTAAAATGTCTCTAATTCTAAAGCTCCTTTCACTTTAACAATAATCCTGACGTTCTAAAATAATGTTGTACTTTTCTGTTATTAGGCAACTGTTCACAGGCTAGGTATACCTCTGAGTTAAAAATTTTAGAATGGTGATTTCTGTGTACATCTAATGCATCAAAATAGACACATATATTTAGTTTTATATTCATAGCTACAATTGTGTCCCTTCCGCATCATAGGATAACTGTATGTGGTTGAATCTCATAAAACTTGTTATATGAGATGGACTTTTGAGCACAATTAGGTCACATCTCATTAACACCAATAAGATATGTGTTGCAAATTGTGATAGGTTATAAATTAAAGTGACCCGCTCCTTTGTATGTGTGAGCAACAATTTACTTATACCGCAGATGTAAAACCTTAGTATATCCTAATTAAAATGAATTGAACAATTTTGCAGTTCTGTGACATAGTGAACTTCTCAGCTGGCTTGCTCCTTTGAGTTGTTCTTTTCATTTTAAAAAGCTATTAGTCAAGTTTTAAAATCCTAGGAGAGATGCAGGCATAACATATTGCATAGCGATAATATTTTGCTGTTACCAATTTTCTGCACATCTGCATTTGTGAGTCTTCTCAGGATGGCAGAAATTTAGAACATGATGCCAGTCTCTGAAAACTGAGTCCTAAAAAATCATTCACGATTTAGGCCAATTCCTATTTGTTTCATTTTCTATGATATAAATAGAACTCATAGGCTTTATTCCATATATTAATGCAGTCTTGCACAGTAGACTCTAGCAGTGGAATAATGCTATTTTTCTGAACACACTTCAAGTTTTCTTGCCAAGGAAAATGCTTTAAGATAACATTGCTACTTATGTATTATTTTCCTTTCCTTTAAAGAACATGGCTTGCAATTGCTTAGGATGTTGAGTACGGATAAATCGCTGTTGGGCCTGCCAGTTAAATCAGTCTGGATCACATGTGAGCTCAGGCCCACTGTCAGTGCATTAATTTTCCGGATGCTCGAATGTGTATAAAATGTGCATTTAAAAATTGTGGCAGTTCCAGAAGGTGATCTCTTTCTCTAGCAAACCTTGCCCTTCCAGCTCAGACAGAAAAGTGGATGGCCCTGGTCAGTTCTAAACTGAGCTTATGGGAGGTGGGGTTGAATTCTGGTAAGACACAACGTAGTGTTCATTTGCTCCCGTTGTCAGGGCCTTTGCCTGCCATTGATTTCATCTAAGAGGTTGACAGACAACTGCAAAGGGCCAGGTAATAAATGTTTTAGGGTTTGCAGGTCCTCCCTTCTCTTTGCGATGACTCATTGTACAAGAACAGCCGAAGTCAGTATACAAAGGTCACGATGTGTTCCAATCAACTTTTATGGATGGACACAGTTTATATGCTTTCCTGTAACAAAATATTGTTCTTTGATTTTTTTTTTCTCAACCATTTAAAAGTATATAAGCTGTTGAAATGTGGGTATTACAAAAATGGAGAGAGGCTGGACCCACAGGACAAACTGTAGTCGAGGTTGTTCATGTGGAGCTTTTCACCCAGCGGGTCTTGAACACCAGCATTTTAAAATATTGTTCTTTTCAGGATTGTAGAACCACAGAGAATCGAGGGTGCTTTGAGAGAGTTTTAGCTTAGCTTTCTTGCCTGTAGATCCTGCAGCTTCAGAACCTGACAAATGTCAGAAGATAATTGGCCAAGTGCTTGAGATCTCAAGTTTGTATTTTCTCACTAGAGTCTTTCAAGATTCTTTCAAGATTCCCTTCAAGATTCAGCTCTTTGCTAGTTCCTCTGGCCTCCAGAAGTGGCCCCTTCCCAGGCCGAGTTTGGGCTCTGAGTCTAAAAGCCCCAAAATGACAAAGCAGCTGCAAAACTCCTTCCCTGACCTCTGCAGGGTTCTCCTCTCTTCAGAATCTTAGAGCTTCGAGGTCTTGTTGCATTGGTGCTGCTCTGATCCTTTAAACTGCTTGTTTTTAATATTTTACCTAGATTTTCTGCGTTCTTGTGGGTTTCAGGCTACTGACTCCATCCTACCTGGAATGGAACTTTTAGTGCAGTAATTTTTAAAATGCGTGTCTCAAAGGGTACTAAGTTGCATAGCATACATTATTATTCTAATTTCGATGTTAATTCCTCAAGGTGGTGACCAGTTGAACCTGTGTGCACACTTTGTATGCATGTATATAGGAGTGTGTGTGTGTGTAGGAGGATACAGACATGGATCTGTAAATGCGTGTGTCTTCAGCACTGTTTACATAGGTACATAATTTTGGGTAAATTATAAGAGGGAGCCAAGTGAAAGAAAGGTAGGAGGAGGCACCAACTGATTTAAGTTATCCTGGGGTAGGGAAAAAGCTAACAGATGTTTTCCCCTTGGTATCGTGGAGTTAAAGAGACTAAAGACGGCTCATTCAAATACATGTCAAATAAGTTCTTCACAACAAAGCACTCACTTTGCCTTTTTATTTGAGGGATGATACAACTACCAAACATAAAAACATACACTTCCTTCTTTTGCAATTCTGTTGAAAATACCAGAGCCATGGTGTTTTGTGCATTTGTCATAAATCTGGAGTTTTAGCACCAGCCTAGAAGGCAGAAAAACGTCCCCACCTACTACTTGATTCCAATATTAGACTTCGGGGGAGTGCTGTTTAGCAAGCCGATATAGTCTTACTTAAAATGCCTTTAAAATAGCAATTAGCTAATAAATAATGTGGAGGTGAAACTGGACTGTATGAAGGCTGGACTGTATGAAGGCTCATCCAACTTGTTCCCCCAGAGAGAAAGATAAGGGATTCCTCCTGAGATATTCCCGGTCGTAAGAGTTCCTGCGGGGACCCCTCCCCTAAGAATCACTGAGTTGGCCTGCTGGGAACAGTCTTCTGTTAAGGTTGAAATATGACAAAATTCAGTTAAGTTCACACTGCTATTGAGAGGAGAAGTCATATAGGATTTGGAGTCAGGAAAAACTGTTTCAAAGCCACATCAGCAAAGTACTGGACCCATCAGCAAAGTACTTAATTTCCAGGAGCCTGGGGTTTCTTCCCTGTGAAGTAGGAATCACATCTGTTTCATGCAGATTTAGTTCACGTAGAGGAAGTGCTGTCTTTTGGTACCACGTATTCTAGAGAACTGCATACTTCCCTTCGTTTAGGTGGTCCTCTGAGCCAGCAGCAGAGCCTCCTAGAAGACAAGGGGCAGATTCAGAGGAGTCCGACCTTAGCAGCTTTGAGCTACTCTCAGGTGTCTGAGGAAGATGGAAATGAACAGATCCACACAGACTACAATTGCCCGTCTAGTGATTGCCAGCTTGATGCTAACAGACCAGGGATTTCCCCCTCCATTCTGCTGAACCGGCTCTAACTTCTCATGAAGTTATAATGACATCTGTGTGAACTGACTGGGTGGCTTCATTTCTGTTCTTAGTATCTATGAAGTACAAGCGCACTTTCTTATATTGCTACACAAAAAAGTCACATAATCTTAACCTATTTTCCACATGAGAACACATTTCAGCTGACGTTAACTAAAACTGTGCACTATTACTTAATCTGTCTTTTTAAAAAAGTCTCCAGAATGCACTTAAACAAAGACAGAAGAAGTCATGTTTTAGAACATTTAATAAGAGGAGATATGCCTTCAAAATTAGAAGGAAAAAATAGAAGGAAGGAGTATTTAGCTTTAAGACTTTTTAAGTGAGTTTTATAAAACTAAAATATGAAGAAATCCATACTTTTATTTTCAGATTCTGTTTCTAGGCTACTTGATTTCTCCTTAAATCAGGGCTTTGGCCTTTTTCTCATTAAATTCCTGTTGATAGTTACTAATCTTAATTTCTCGAGAGAATTAACATGATCAAGTAATTTTACATCTAAGTATTTATTTTTCTAATCTGATGAATTTGCTAAGAATATGTTTGCAAACCACCAAGGAATTTTTCCACCATGAAGAAGTCATGAAAACAGACTAACAATATTACCTATTCAAGTACAAAAGCTTCAAAATTATAAAAATTCACTTACATAATAGTATTGAACACTTATCTTTAAATACTATGAACAAATTTGAATATTATTTTGTTTCTTTACTGATATCTGTTATTATAAAAA